AAGCCTCTTGACATCCAGTTTTTGGTAGAAAGAGAGAAATGAAAAAAATGATAAATCATGCAAATGGAAATTACTGAGCTTGTTTTAATTTATCAAGCGATTAATGGATTTATTGCTTATTGTGACAGGCCTACTGGTCTACAACCCACCATACTTCTGTCAGCCATAGTGCAGCTAATTGTATTAGCTGTAGTAGCTAACTGTGCTTTGAAATTAGCTGAGGAAAATTAAATCCTCAGCTGAAAATCTGAGGATTGAAAAGTTACATTTTCAGCTCACAGTCACGTGATTGTAGCTCCAATGGTGTAAGTACCAAATGAAATTTACCTTTGGTCAAAAAATTACTTTCTTATCTCTAAATCATTTTTTTTTCTCATTAAAATTGGAACACACAAACCTTCTGCACTGACATCCACCATGTATGTCATGGTGGCTAAATATTGAAAGAATCACGTGACTTCTATCTGTTCCCTAAAAGTGGTGGAATGGCGTCACAACACTCCCCATGTTACAATCATCCTATGTCTCCCTTATTTTGGAAATCATCCCAAGAGATTCTTGATTGCCCTTTGACCCTAGCTATCAGAATCAATTCATCACATCTTTTCTGATCAGTTCATCTCGTATCCATCTGTTATATCCTGTCACTTTATAAATACATCTGTTCACATATTTACTCAGCTTTAAATGGGCAATATAACAACATCCTCATCAGAAATCTTCATTGATTCCAGCTTGTCTCACCACTAGGGGGAGCCCCATTGAGATCGCGTGCCTTCAACAAACCACCAGAGGTCTTAATTAAAAAAAAAAACAAAAACAAACAAAAAAAAAAACAGTCTAATTGCTTTAAATAATTATTGCGCTATGAGTAAAATATCTGTCATGTCTTAATTTGACTAAGATACTATTTTAGGGATCAACTAGTCAGACCACTGAGATTTTTGGTCTTGTTGAATAAAGATTTTTAAGGCCTGCTAAAGCAAATAATAATAATAATAATAATAATAATAATAATAATAATAATAATAATAATAATAATAATAATAATAAACAATTAAAGGAACATTATCAAAA